CCCCTGATTGACATGGGAAATTTATTATCTGAATTTTTAAGGAGGTTCAAGTTAGGTGAAAATTTCGTCCAAGATTAAACTAATTAGGAAAAAGGGTCGGTTTTGAAGGGATTGCTTCTAGAAATTTATTAAAGGAGGTTAAGGGATCTTTGAAGTGAGGTTTGGGGATGCGACTTTGAGGAGAGGGTGTTTTTGTAAATAAAAAGGGGTTTTAATCTAGAAAGGTTGTCTTAGAGAATGAGTCGATCAAGCTTCTTAGTCTCGCGTGATGAAGAGGTTCACACCTATGAGTAGGAGAGGAAGAGTCGTGACTGGCGGAGGCAGGAAAAAGACTGTGAACTCGGCGATGGCGATCGCGACTGTTGGTGGTCAAGCGATGGATAAGCCCCAACCCTATCCTCCTAGACGACCCGGGGTGTCGGCAGTTCGAAGTTGGCCGTTGAATTGTGGCCGGAGGAGGGACCTCGAAGAGAATGGCGGCAAAGTTCCAACGGTGAGGATCGTCAAAGAGGAAGACGAGGAACTGATAGAGGAGGTGCCAAATGAGGAAAAACATCCGGAGTTTGAGCATGAGAATGCAAACGTTGACGCGACTAAAGAGGTGAGTGTAAAGGGGGTAAAATCTCAATAGTAGGTCTTTTAATTTACGTCGTTCCCACCGCCTACCTAAGGTGGAGGCACTCATTGTGTTATGTATGAATGTATGATTGCAATAGTTGGTTAATGGTAAGATGAACCCCGGGGAGCTTGGGCCACTACTAGACGCGGTAGATGATCGGATCAGTGCTGGACGGGGAGATGTAACGAATCAGTTGATCTAGTATGTTGGGGTCACTACTAGACGGCGAGAAATAATGTTGTAGTTGACTGGGCATGGACTGGACGGCGAGACGTAACGCAGTGCCATTGTCGAGTTTGGGTATGCGACCGGATGGCGAGACGTAACGCGGTTGGCATACTAGGGTCTGGACACCGGACGGTGATACGTAACGGAGTGGTCCCTAGTGTTTGGTATCTAAGTTCAGGATAGAAGTAGCAAACTTCTACGAGTTCATGATAGAAGTAGCAAACTTCTACGAGTTCATGATAGAAGTAGAGAGATCCTATAAGCTAGTTGAAAGGATGATTATTAAGAGCAGAAAACGAGAACGACTTTCGTGCTAGGAATGAAACTCTAATAACGTGTTAGTAGAAAGTTTTCCTAGGGCAAAGACCTTAGGAAGTAACAACGAGACTGACCACTTCTCACTCACCACGTCGAGGAAGGGTTAGAGGAGGCGGATTTCGAGAAGAGGCAAGGCGAGGCGAGTAGCTGCGCGAGCATTGATGAGAAGTGAATGAGCTCATGAAGAGTCAGAGCTAAAATAGATTAATTTCTTTGTTACATGGTTAGGAGTCTAAACTGTAGATTCTGAGTTAATTCATTTTAAGTATTTGGATTGTCATTTGCCCAAGTATTTCAGGCTTTTTGTTCGAAATTCTTAAATATTGTCGGTTTGTTTATTTTAAAAAGTGGTTTGGGTTGCTCCAGAGTAACCGGTTTTCGGTTTGAGTTATGGTTTGGGTGTCGCCCGCTAGACACCCTCCTTCATGAGGATCTTATGTGAACAGAATGAGGGACTGATCGCTTGAATGTCTGTAATCTTCCATGCAATGGCCTTCTTATGACAGCGTAGGACCTCAATCAATTCAATCTTTTGCTCTAATGTGAGGTTGGATTTAATGGTGATCGGGAGTTTATCACCGTTTCTCAAGAAAGCATACTCGAGATGGCTAGGCAATGGATTCAACTCCAACTCGGCTGGCTCTTCCAAAGAGGTCGGGATCTTAGGCATGGGAGGTAAGGCTTCCACCTCCAATTTCGAGGCCACATTGTCGGCTTCCTCAAAATGTGGGGGTTTCTCTTCCTCCTGTTGAGCCTCCAAGTCATTTGTCCCTACCAAAAAACACTCCTCGAGAGGGTTAGAAGGACTGGCCTCCGCAGATGCGAGTGCCAAAATGAAATCGGACATATCATGACAATACTCAACATCATCATGCAAGTAAGAAAACTTCATGTTATCATCAATGGAGATTGGAGAAGCTAACCTCTTCATTCCCTTCCCTAAGCACCAATTTTTCTCCATGCACATCAATTGAAGCCTTAGCGGTGGCCAAAAAAGGCCTACCCAAAATAAGGGGAACGTCCACATTATCGTCGATGTCGAGAATGACAAAGTCGACCTGATAAATGAGGGTTACAACCTTAACAAGTAGATCCTCTAAAATACCCTTAGGATGCACTATGAATCTGTCTGCCAACTGAATATTTATCCTAGTGTCTCTAGGCTCACCTAGGTCTAACTTTTTAAACAAACCATACAACATCACATTTATACTAGCTCCTAGTTTCGCCAAGGACTTCCCTATGCACATGTTGCCAATAAAAAAAGGAACAGTGAAACTCCCTAGATCTTTGCGCTTCTTAGAAAGATGGTTCTGCAGGATGGCTGAGCATTCTTCATTTAGGGCCACGGTGACCATCCCTTCCAACTTCTTCTTGTTGATGATGAGGTCTTTCAAGTACTTTTCATACTTGGGCATCTTGGTGAGAGATTCAACAAATGGAATGTTAAGGTATAGTTGGTTCATCAGCTCTATAAAGTGAGCAAACTCCGCGTCCATGCGATCCTTGTGGAGCCTAGTGGGGTTGGGAAGCGGTGAGCTTGCTTTTCCCTTCTATTTGTCCGATTGAGGATTCGAGTCCATTTTTTCCCCATCGAGTGCACTTGCCCTCCCTTGTTGATCAGGGGAAATAGTAGGATCAACTCGCTCCGCCGTCTTGGTGGGCTTCCTTTGGATGGGAACTTCTCGGGTTTCTCTCCTACTTCAGAAGGTCACAGCTCCCAAATCAGATTCATCAAGTTGATTCCAAGAAAGAGCCGCTTGCGTGATAATCCCCATCATTGTAGCCAAGGATGTCAAAATTGATTGATGACTTTGCAACCCACCTCTATGGATGAGAACTTCTCTGTTGCCTCTCCCATTAACCTTTCTATTTTCTCAAACTTCTTCTAGCTGGAACTAGCGAAATGGTTACTAGCTCCTCCAGGGAAGACATCCTATCAGAATGTGCAAAAGAGATGGAATGCAATTGTTCCTCAGAGACGTCCGCTTCCTTCAGCAATTGGCACTCCACAATATTTTGGTTGGTACTCGAATACCAATCACATGCCATCAATGGCTTCGTCCCTTTCTTCTTATCTTCAATAAGTGAATCAATCAACTGATCGATCTTGGCAGCAAGTGGAGAGCTCGCCTCCGTGGAGTTTACTCCTCTCTTGGCATCCCTTCCACCACGTCTCGTCGGTCCCCAATCATACCCTTTTGTTGCCATATCTTCAAGAAAAGAGGTCATCTCATGTGGGGGTTTGTTTATCAAGTTCCCTTGACATTGAGAGTCAATGAGAATCATGTCTTCTTGAAGGAGACCGTCATAGAAGGTTTCAATCCGAAACTGCTCTCCAAACCCTTGATGTGGGCATTAGAGGAAAAAGTCAGAGTACCTCTCCCATCCATCCCTCGATATCTCGTCCTCCTCTTGAGCGATGTGAGTGATCTTCTTGTGCCACTCCGTCGTCTTGGAAGGTGGACAATATCGGGCCATAAACTTGTTGAGTAAGTCCTCCCATGAGGTAATCGAGAGGGGGTGGTCTATTGTTGAGCCACCGGAGCACTTTCCCCGTAATAGAGTGGGGGAAAAGCCTCAACTTCAAAGCCTCGTCGGATACCCCATTGATCTTCAAGCTTCCCGCAATCTCGATGAATCTCTGGATATGCTCCCTTGGAGACTCATCTTGGAGCCCTTAAAACTGAATGTTGTTTGGATCATTGTGATGAGTCCGGACTTGATCTCGAAATTGTTGGTGGACACGGGTGGATGTAGAATGGTCGGTTGGATAGCCATTGCCCGTTGACCCATATAGTAGCCCATGGTCCTTGGTCATCCGGAGCATTTTCATTCTCTGCCATCTCGTCTCACTCCTTCCTCTTCATCAACTACAACTTCTTCAACTTCGGGACCAACTTGTGGTTGTCCCCTCTCCTCTATCCTTCTTCTTGCTTCTGCCAGCATCCTCTCACAAGCCAAGAGTCGGAGAGTGCGGTTGAGATTCTCGTCTAGTGGCGCCAAAGGTGTTGGATGACTCTGGGTCATACACCCTTTTGCATACACTTCAAAGCAACACAACTCGTCTAACACAAACAAGATTCACACTCACAAAACAAAAAGTAAACTCTAGATTAACACCAACAATCTTTTCAAAATAATAAACCAATTTTTCCCGACAATGGCGCCAAAAGCTTTACTCGTCCCGAATATCACAATAAAAATCTCAATTAAGGCCAAATATAAACCTTAACCTAGTGCAATATAGGGCATGTATGTTTTAAAAGTCAAAGTCGGGTTGGTCCATGTACCCCTACTTCAATTGTTTGAAACATTAACTAGCAATCGAGTTTTGGTTGAAACTAATGTGTGGTAAAAGCAGTTGTAAACCGTAGGGAAGCGCAACAAGAGAACAAACTTCACTCTCTCGGTCACAAGGCCAAGGGACTTTGAATCAAGCTATCAAGGTAGCTCTCTTGGCCAATCGACTAAGGGTTGCTTGGGCTTCTCCCTCGAACCGTAGTCCGAACGACCAAAATACAACCTACCCAAAGTGTTAATACGTACTATGAGGTTTGCCCTAATTCAACGTAAGTAGGTGACACAATTTGACCAAGCAATTCTAGCTTTTACAAGCCTCTTAGAAAGAAGTGAATTTTCCTCTATCTAGGTCAAACTGGCATAAGAGTTGGAAAAGCAAGCACAATCTAGCGTAAAATCGAACCTCATGGAGTAAAAGTGCCTCAAACATATAAGAAAAATGGGGTAAAATGTGCATAATTAAACCTGAATCAAATATCACTAGCTTCAGTTTAATAGAATTGGACGAGCAACAATGTTTGGTTTAAAAATTATTCAATAGAAAACTATATTCGTACGATTCCAAAAGTTCACGATTCTTGAGAAATTTACTTATTTTTCTAATAACATCATTGTCAAACAAAAATACTCCTCACTTCTAATTAACATACCTATACTTTTAGGTAAACCGTCGTGAAACACAGGTTAATTATCTAGAAGTCGCAATGCCAATGGGTGAAACATCGATTGATGCCATTGAATTTAAACATCTCCTGGTCCAATGTTAACTATCTACAAAATGCATCCATGCGTGCTTGTACATGGAACCTCTAGAGATTAGCGCATTGGCCATGCCTAAAATCTCAAGCTGCTCTCGATTACATGGATTAGATTTACTTGGTAGCCATTCCATAGATGTGAGGGTTTACGAACGAGGCACTGGACAAGGAAGCAATGTTGAGGTCGAGATGCGAGAAGCCGGCTTTCGAAATCTCGGTCCCTGTTTGTCTAGTTAGATGACAGCCATCAGCAAGCGTTTGTTGCAATGGGTTGAGGACATTCTGCAAGAATCTTAGAGCTGTTCCATCTGGGAGGGCAGGACACATCGCAAAGCCAAAACAACATGCCATATATTATTCAGCAAAAAGCTCTTCCTAGTACCCAAGTGAGGTTTCATCAACTAAAACAAAGAAATCCGATCCAGTTTAATACAAGTTGAGATCATTCTACCTTTTGCTGCAACATGCTCCACGAACAAGTAAATCCCTCCTGGTTTCAGCACTCTCTTTACCTCTGAAAGCCAAAAACATAAACAAAAGGGCCGAAACTTCCGATTTCAGCGAAGCTTTGGCACACAAACGTGATCAAGAGAAGGGTTTAGGTTTCTCCTTAAACAGAAGTTAACAACACCTCTCGGCAAGTGTATTGAAGTTCTTTGGGTGAATATATACTTAGTGATCGTAACAAACAATGAATCAGGAACGTGTTTTCCAAACACACAACACAACCGACTCCATCTGCGTCCTCTATGCTCATCTGCAGATATCAAAGCCATAGAAAATAGATCGAATTACCTTGCAGCGTTCGATCGACATCTTCGACAGAACATAAAACAAGCGTTCCAACAACAGCATCTACAGAAGCATCATCTAGTGGTATAGCCTCCCCGACCTGGAAGATCAATTAACCAACCCCGAGAATCAGAATTAGCAAGAAAGGGGGAAAACTCGACTCCTAGAGTTCATTTTCAAGACAAACTGAACCGAATCGAACCCATTCGAGAAACAAAAACACATACAGCTTGAGTGAAACTGAAACTTGAAGGTTGCAACCCAGCAGCAATGGCAGCATCACATGCATATCTCTCCATCTTACTGTTGGGATCCACTCCAAACACTTGAACATCAGCATCGTAGTATTTGAGATTAGGCCCCGTTCCAATCCCGATCTCCAGCACTTCCTTCGCCTTCCCCTTTAATTCACTAAACAGCCGCGACTTGTATTCTGCAACCTTCACCCAGACAATCAAATGGAGAGCCAATGAAGAAACACAGCGACTCCCAAACCAACCCACAGCATCGAAGTTCATCATTATACCCACTGACCTCAGCCTCGTAAGCTTCCGTCGCTGAATTGAGCACCCAAGCATATAACTCCTCGTACCAACCGGGTCTCGGCGGATGAACTCGATTCAAAACGTCCTACATTCCAATACACCGATTCTTTCGATTACTGCGTGGTGTGCGTAAAAACAACCGAATCGAGGAACGACAAGAAGACCTTACCTTGTAATCAGACTTCGGACCGGAAGCGTTTGCGGGGCGTATTGGCCGCGACGCCATTGTTGCTGCTCCGCCGAGGAAATGCCTTCTCCCGCAGGGGCATAATCTTGTGGTCAGGAGTCGTTCACCGGCCTCTTTGTGCAACGATCCTCCTGCTGCAATCTCGTGTGAATTGGAGCAACTGGGGGTTACCTTCACTGAAGTACAACAGCAGGCGTTTAAGTTGCAGGGAATGAGTGGTGGAGAAGAATACAGGCGAGCTGATCGGCCGATCATCGCCATTTAAGGTGGAATATCGAGCTTTGTGTCGTCTTGAGGCCTATTGTGTTACTTTCGGTTCCTAATAATAGACCGATGGTATTAGTAACGGCTAGGGCTGTTAATGAACCAAGCCGCTCATGAACGGCTCGGTGTGCGATTCGAGAAAAACTCGTTTTATACTCGATTCGTTTTAATCGAGCCGGTTCGCGAACAAACTCGTTAACTAAACGAGCCGAACTCGAGCCATACCATGTTCAGCTCGAAAGCTCGCGAACAAGCTCATTTAATGGTTTGGCATAAAAAAAGAATTGGAATTCATGGATTTTATGTATTGAAATTGGGATAAATATTGTGTTTTACTTTGCTACAGATTTAAATGTAATTTTATGCGTAGTTCTAGGCCAATCTTGAGCTATCATGAACATTTTATGAGCTGAACTTGATTTTGGGCTCGTTAAGCTTATTTGACGAGCCGAGCTCGAGCTTTCAATTTCATAAACGAGCCGAGCTCGAGCTTGCATATTAAAGCTCGTGACGAACACGAGCCGAGCTCGAGCCTGAAAATATATTAACGAGCCGAGCCCGAACTATGGCAAAGCTCGGCTCGACTCGGCTCATTAACAGCCCTAGTAACGGCAGGGGAAAAGGAAACTTCAATCGATGTATTGCGCGACTTTTTTTGTTTTCGTTGAATATTGCGCGACTTTTCTACAACAACGAATTGCCTTTAGTTAGGAAAATTTGACTCGGAATAGTACATTGTGATAAGATTCATTGCATACGGATTCAATTCTAGAAATCACCTATATTCAAAGGGAAAAAATTCCACGGATGGTAACAGCAGCCCAACTAAACCACATGTTTAGTCTCTCATGTAATCATGCAGTGTTGTGTCTAGCAAATTCGTATTACATTTCCCTTTCCCAATCTCGTTTCGTTGCTCAGTTGTAACTTGTAACCGATAGCCAAATCAGAACTAATGGTTAATGGTTACATTGATACCGATTAAACAGTAAATGATTGGTTCTCGATAGTTAAACTTAGCTAATTACTAATTGATGATTAGACAGTTAGTAACAGACGGTTAAACGATAAACCGACTAACCGATTACGGCCATACTCATAGTTAGGGCTAAAAATACTAGAACTCTATGAGCCGCAAACGTAGGCCAAAGATAGTGGAATGTTTGAAGACCTACAAAATCTCTTGCCTACCCTTGTTGTAATGGCGACTTATGAGTTGAGTAATTGTTGTTGGGTATCTTATTATTCTCTCCCTCTTTAATCAGATTTGATAGGTAGAATTGCGTTATTGTGTACTTGAGTTGGAGAGAGTTGATTGTGAATTGATATCTATGTTAAATTATTTTTATTCAATGATAACAACTCTTTAAAAAGAACATATAGTTTAGAAGAAAAAAATCTACAAAAATGCACAGTTGAAAAAGAGAAGGTCTTCCGTCGGTTAGGTTATCGATCGGTTATTTTGGTATGATTTTGTCTAATCACCTACATAGCTGTTATCCGGTTAACCAACAAATTAACCGAGAACTGAATATACGGTACGCAATGTAGTCAAAATCGCGCTTTAAAACTTAAAAACTTACGATTTTACGTTTCTAGGTCACTAAAATGCTTCTATACAAAATTTCAGTTTTTATAACTTATGTAATTATAAACTCCGCTTTAAAACTTAAAAACTTACAATTTTACGCTTCTAGATCACCAAAACGTTTTTACGAAGAAACTCGTTTTTTACTACATTGACGGTACGGTTAACTTACTAATATAAATGTTGCAGAAACAGGAATCATGAAGTGTTTAATGGTTAATCGAGAATCAAGTAAAAAGTTTCGGTTATAACCAAACTGAACCGATTGCAATCCCTAGTTGTGTTGTCTATTAAATTTGCATGAGTTAACTACATTACTTTCATTTTATAGTGAGAATTGTTCCTTAATTTTTACCTTGCAAAAAGTAGAAGTTAAGTAAAAGATTTTGCACATGCAGAAAATGTATCACAAAATTGTTCATATCGTGGCAAAAAAGCTTCTCTTGTGAATGGTTAGGCTCTCGTCAACTATCCTCCTTTTCACTCGCTACTTTGTGTTGCTTGCTTGTAAAGACGTTTTATTTTGCATGTATAAGTACCCTTTTGATATGAATGCGAATAGGGTGACAACCTGTACCCTATTAATTTTTGCAATGACTCACAGCATTTTTCTACTCTAATAAAACTTGTAAATTATATATTCTTCATCTAAACTATCAAAGACCTTATTGTCAATATATCCTATCGATTAATGCTTCGTAATTTTGTTAATCATTCCAATCCATGGCACGTTACGGTAAAGACTCTCTAGTGCTCATGGATAACTGATGAAAGTCGGTTGAATGAAAAAATAGAGTTGAGCGACTTAGCGACCATGTTTGAGATGAAAAGTTTTGATTGGAATTCAAAACCGAAACATAATAATATTATACCCCAATAAGTTCACCTAGTGATATTGTGACGATAAGAATGTGGTTCCATTTAAAGGTTTCATTATAAACAATCTAATATACATGTTTTTAACTTTGTTCTACCAAACTAAGGGTGTGCCAAGGCACCCCCTCCTAACAAGGTGCCTCCGCCCCTGGTGACAACGCCCCTTATGTATGTTGGGTTGGGTTGGTTCAACCTCCTATGGTGGTTAGATTAAGTCATTGTAATTAAGTTGGATTATCTTGAATTCATTAGTGACTTCAAAAGATTTTTTTTAGAAGATTCGCTATTATCATAATAGAGAGGATTTGCAACCTGTCATTTATAAAGGAGTTATAGTCGGTTAAGATACAAACAATTAAGAACTAAAGGTTGCATACTTTTCGTTTCTACGGCAATGCAGCATGTTCAAGAGAGCATTACGGACAAACAAACCTTTGAATAATCCATAAATTTGGTCGGCATGTTCAAGACTCTTTGGCCTTCAATCTGGCTGGAGAGATATTTTATCTATAGTTTGTCATTTTGTGTTGCTGGAAAAAGAGAGTATGAATATGTTTCGGTACTTCTGAAATGTTTCTTCATCTTTTGTATGTTTTTGTTATTCACCGTGTTGGAGAGAAATATTATGGTTGATTGGTGATCTAAAATGGTTCTTCTTGAGGTGTTTTGTAATCCTCTAGCTAGCGCTGAGTGGACTTGTAAGCTCATCAAAGTATAATGGAGTTGCGGATTTGACTACAATCCCGTGTTTTTTTTTCCGATTTAGGTTTTTCACGTAAAAAACAATGTGTCTCATTCTTTTCATTCTTGCTTGATATTTCTGCTATGTTTTTCATAGTGGTATCAGAGTCCAAGGTTGTTTGTGAGCTATTTTGGCAAGAATTGATGACTCAAACGGAGCAATGCCACAAATGGAGGATATACTGTTTTGCAAGGATCTCTGTGAATCTATTGAAAGTAGTAACGAGAAGCTAGAAGACAAGTCGGATAAGCAATGAGATTCATCCGGAGATGTAGATATAGAATTCTTTGACCATTGATAGACCGTTAATTACACATGTTTTTACCCCTATTCTTGAGCCGTTTGAGATGTCGATTCTCGCATTTTAGGCCGATTTCACACTAGGTTGTTCTTGTTTGTGATATTTCAGGTCCTAGTACGTGAATGAAGGTTTAGGAACGAGTTCGGGGTCGATTGGACGAAGTTCGGACATGTGGCGAGACGCTGAGGAAGCCACACAGGCACTCCTAAAACCCACACGGCCGTGTAATGAACCAATGTGGCCGTGTGGGATTTACCGAGCCTTCACACGGGCATCCTGGAGATTCCACACGGCCGTGTGTCCCTGGTCGTATAGGAAGCCTGAAGTCTACTTAATCGAAACTCCGCGTTTTGGCACTCACACGGGCAGCTGGGTAAGTCACACGGCCGTGTGGCCTGCCCGTGTGAGTCAGGAATTCTGGGTTCTAACCCAATTTCAAGCCACAGGTGGGAGGATCAACTTTTCAGAGCAAAAATAGATCCCTAGAGAGAGAAAGTGTGAAGAACACATCCTAGAAGTGATTTTGGAGTTGGGTTTCATCAATTGAGCTTGGAGATCATCATAGGAGTGAAGATCATCATCCCAGAGCAGATTCTTCCCATTGTTATGAGTATGACTGCTTTGTATTATGTTTTCCTCTCTCTCTCTCTCTCTGGAGTAGACCCTTCTCTCACTTGGGTATGGAGAACCCTAGTTCCATGTGTTAGGGATCATGATTGTAATGACTTGGGATTGCTATACTATTTGGTTTTAATCGAATGATGCATGATTCATTGAATTAATTGAAGTCTGATCAGCTTTTCTTGATTCTTGCTGCAACCTGAGATAAATAGAATCTGATTAGGTTGTTAGAGCTTCATCATTCGGTAGTAGTAGATTGGCTATACGAGAGTTAGTCAGTCTACTACTTTGTACTGGAATCCAATTCCAGTAGTGGAGTTCTGTTCTTATTGCTTCAGCTTTCTATCCCGGTGAAGACTAGTCGTCTGCCGGGTAGTTAGACTGAGAGGGCTTGGTCTGCTTAAGAGATTCCAAGCTACTGTCGGATCTTCCGCAGTTTAATCAACAGTAAATTAACCCAGGGTAATTACAACTGAGACCTAACTAAGGAGCTAGGGGGACTCATTCCCGAGTGACTCTTCCTTTGCTTCAGAAAACCAAATCATTTCCTGCTTTCTTACTGCTTTTAGTTAAAACCACTATCAATCGACTTAGTTGGCTAGATAACAGATATACACGGAGTAGGCAGTAGATCTAGACCCCGGGTTTATAATTAGACTTGCCACTTTACTGCATTCCTGGACTGCGATTACACTTGGTCGCAGTTTGGTGTTGTGTCGTAGCGTGTCAAGTTTTTGGTGCCGTTGCCGGGGAAAATCTAGGTTATTGGAGAAACGTGAAAGTTTGTTACTCTAGCTTTTTCTTTACTGCATTTTCTCTCTTCCACCTCTGTGCCTTCACGGGTTGCCTTTGCTAATTGTGTGCAGGTAGTGCATGGCCCGTAGCCAGTCGGGAGATCTACTACCATTAGA